TCTTCCAGATCTCTCCACCAGATATACACTGTGCACACAGAAATACCTCTTTTGGTGCACAGCTGCATAATTTTCCATCCGTGGAGTACAAGACACATCTTCCTTATTTTACACTAATGGAAAATACCACCAAGAGAGCCTGGAACATGAACATTGTGGTCATACAGCTGTGCTGTGCACACTCAAGCATGCATTGCTATATTGAGTCAGACACAAGATGGCAACTGGTGCCATCTTCAGCCCGGCTGAAGACATTCAGCTTCCAGAGGTCTGACACCACGAAGGCATTGCGACACCTGGGGAACAACAGCCTGTCCTGTTCCTTGAGGTTGCTCTCTGCATTCGGTGCAGGTGTTCCCACAATTTGGAGATACAACTCCATCCTGCAGCTTGCTTCTCTGCTGACAGCAATCTCTGCTGCAGAAAGCTGCCAAAAAAAAAAAAAGAAAAAAAAAAAGAAAAAAAAAAAAAAAGAGGTCGATGAAGGAAAAGAGATTGATGGAGATCCCTCTACGGACAGAGGTTTGCCCAGAGCTGTGCTGCTAATTGAACTGGACCGTTTTCAGAAGTACTTAATGCGCAGATTCGATATTTGAAATATGGAGGTACTTCATACACTCAGCCAGCAGCAGCACATGAAAAGTGGGCACCGGCGTCTGGAGAGTCCAGGAATGCACCTACAAAGCACCCAGACAGGCTGTGCAGACAGAGTCTGAGCACAACTGTTGGATTTGCAGTCAGAAGACCTTGCTGAAGCATGCTGATAATAGAAACAGGAAAAAAGTGTGATAAGGAGCTGAGAAGGGATAAAAATGAGACAGCAAAATTAAGGCTTTTGTTATTTTGCCAAGGAACAAAAACTAGAGTGAGTGAGAAAACTCGGTGAGAAACAATAGCAAAGACACTAGACAAGGTAATAAATATGTCTGATGAACAATGCAGCTCCAGCCAGGAAGGATACCATTTGAAACAACAAAAAAGCAGGAGTAGAGGCACAGGTAGTTACACTGGAGTGCAAAACTCTGACACCCACATCCAACATTAGAAGTGGAAAAGTTTCCATATTTAAAGAAGATTGACAGACATCATCCCACCTTTAAAGTGGAGGAGGTTTGGAGAACTCCAGGTAAACCCAATATCAAACTGAAGGAAGACAGCAGTGGTTCTGGGTTCAGACACAGGCTTCTGGGTTTCTGTTGGTGTTTGAGAAGTGTGTTGGTGGCCAATGCTTCTATTGCAACAACAGGTAATAGAAACATGGGAGAAAGAACTCGGTAGCATGCAAAACAAACCTAAGGCAATATTCTATAGATGGGTTTCCAGAAGACAAGCAAAAGCTGGAAATAGACTCTAAGAGACAGCTGGAATGCATCACTTCACAAGCACTGTTAGGAGGAATGGTGAGTCTTCAGATTGAGTCCTCATTCCTGCCAGGGAACCTGCACAGTGAGCAGCAGCCAAAGGGCAGTGAGAACGTGTCAGGTGAGCTGGGATCTGATCACCTAGAAATACTGAATGCTACAGACAGCTGCTCTCCATCTCTGGTGCCATGGGGACCCATTTCCAAGCCAGTTTTGAAGTGACCAAAGAGGAGTAATGTCAAGCATGATCTAGGATTGCATTTTATTGCTTTTGTCCCATGTCTGGGCTTCGCTTCACCTATCAGCTTCACCTGTCTACAAATCAGCTGTCCAAGGCTGATTTTCTCTCCATCAGGTCCCTTCAACAGGGAGAGACAGACATCTCTGCAGAGCAACCCACATGGAACATTCTTTGCTGCCCCTGGCTGGAGAAGCCTGCCTCGAGCCTGAACCCATCGCCTGGATCCAAGCATAGAATCATGGAATCATTAAAGTTAGAGAAGACCTCTAAGATCATCCAGTCCATCCCCAACCCACCCCCACTATGGCCACTGCCCACGTCCCTCAGTGCCACATTTCCACATTCCTTGAACACCTCCAGGGGCAGTGATCCCACCGCTCCCTGAGCAGCTGTGCCACTTCATCACCACTCTTCCTGAGAAGAAATGTTTCCTAATGTCCAAACCTGACCCTCCCCTGGCACAACTCAAAGCCATCACCTGTCATCCTGTTGCTGATACCTGGGAGCAGAGGCTGACCCCACCTCCTTTCAAGTAGTTGTAGAAAGTGATAAAATCTCCCCTAAGACTCCTCCAGACTGAGCAATCTCAGTTCCCTCAGCTGCTCCACACTGATCCGTTGCCTGGATCCATTCCAGGCCAGTAGTGGCATTGCTGGCACTTGGGTGCAGTCTTGGCACTATGACCTTCAGGGTTCAATGCATGAGCAGCATCTCCACCCAAGCAGACTTTCTGAAAGATTGTCAGCAAATAGTTCCTGCCATTCTGGTTCATGTTTTAAGAATCTGTTGTTATCTCAACTCTTTGTGCCCCGTGTTGGGCACCAAAAGGAATTGCTGTGGTTTAATCCAGAAGCCAGCTCAGCACCACACAGCTGTTTGCCCGTTCCCACCCAATGGGTTCGGGGAGAGAATCAGAAAAAAGGTAAAATTCATGGGTTAAGATAAACGCAGTTCAACAAGGAAGAAAAGGAAGGGAAAATAATAACGATAAAAGAAGACAGGAAACAAGTGATTCACAAAGCAATTGTCCACCACCCACCACCGATCCCCAGCCAACTCCCCCAGTCCTCTAGCTCCACATGTTGACATTGGGTGTGGGACATCCTTTTGGGCAGTTTGGGTCAGCCATCCGGGTTCTGTCCCTCCCAGTTCTTTGTGTACCCCCAGCCCCGTGCAGGCAAGGCAGTGTGAGATGCTGAAATGCTTTCAGCCCTGAGCAGCACACCTCAGCAATGACTGAACATAGTGGGTTATTGACAGTATTCTCATCCTAAATCACACAGCACCATAACAGCTACTGGAAAGAAAATTAACTCAATCCCAGCCAAAACCAGCACAGCAGATCTGAGTCCAAGAGCATCACACAGTTCCCAACACACTGAGCTGTGGCAAAGTCTGGGGCTGCCCACACCACGAGCACAGCACCTGCACACAACGCTGGGATGGCATCTGCTGCCCAGGCGAAAGCAGAAACTCTGGGCACCAAACTGCAGCACATCAGCCCAAAAGATCTTTCTGTACAAATCAGGACTCAAAGTCACGTCTATATCAACCTGACCACTGGGCCTGTGGGCAAGGAAAGAAAGATTTGAAAGTTACACGTTTAAAAAAAGCAAGACATTAGAAACCGCAAGACTTCTGAGCTATTAGGCTGCCAGGCAAGTCAGAGAGATAGCCCCTAAGATTTATTAACATTATCTGCTACACAGCTCCCAGTTCGGCTTCAGAACTTGTGGGAAGTCTTATTTATCAACCAGAGAGAAAGGACAAATGTAAGAAAGGGCCGTGACAGATAATAATTCAACGTGCTGGGTGAACCTACAGAGACTGGCATTTTTCACTTCACTTCTCTGTTTGCAAAGAACTTGGCACTGGCGTTGTTTTCATTTAATTTCTCTGTTTGCAAGAGATTTGGCCATTCATTTTGGCTGGAGATCCGATAAGCAAAGCTAAGGAAACACAGGGCACATGTTGTTCTTGAGCGGGGCAGAGTTAGGGAAGCTGAGAACAGCTTTTTATTAACAGCTCAAACATTAGCTGGTTGTTGCAAGAAGGGAGGGAGGAAAAACTTGCTCAAGAGGTAAGCTCTGAAGAATCCCAGATTGTTGCTGGAAAGTCTGTATTTTCTGGTTTCTTGCCTTGATAAACATGGTGTCACACTGGAAATTCAAGTCTCACCTTGTGCAAATGTCAGTGGTCCGTGAGGGGAGAGATATGGGCAGATGAGACACCAGCACAGAACTACAGAGCTGCATGGACTGGTTGGGTGCAGTCAGACCGGGACGCACTAGTACAGTAACAGGATGCTCAGATGGGTGCAAGAGCAAATACAGAGATGTGAGCGTGGTGGCAGGGTGTCAAAGGGGCTTGAGCTTGGTTAGAAGGGGAATTGTCTGATTCAGTGCTGGGCTGATGTCTGTTGACTCACCAGATATACCAAGCTCTCAGCTCAGCCCTCCAGGTGCAGTGGCTGGTGGTTGGGCAATATGGATGGGATGTTCTGATGGACTGATGGAAAGAGAAGCGCCCTGCAGATGGGAGCTGGCAGGTTTTGAGGGACAGAAATGAGAAAAGCAAAAGAAAGGAGCAGCCCATGCCAGGATGAAAAACAAGCTATCTGAGTTACCTCATCACCAACAGTTCTACTTGAGCCTCCTGCTGAAAATTCAGGAGTTTTGCCTCTTATGGGAGGTGGAAAACAGAGCCTACAGCTCAAAACACTTGAGCTATGGTCCAGCAGAAGCATTTCTCTCCCTCACACTTCTACTGGTGTGGGTGGAACACCCCCTCCAGTGCGCAACAGGGAGATGGCTCTGCTGCAAAGAGAATTATTGGATGTCACAGAATCATAGAATGGCCTGGGTTGAAAAGGGCCACAGTGATCATCTGGTTCCAATGCCCTGCTGTGTGCAGGTCACCAACCAGCAGACCAGGCTGTACAGAGCCACATCCAGCCTGGCCTTGAATGCCTGCAGGGATGGGGCATCCACAACCTCCTTGGGTAACCTGTGCCAGTGCCTCACCTGAAACATGTCCAAATGACATACACTCAAGACCAACTCCTCTGCAGTGAACACAGATACCTGCAGCAGATCAAGTGCTCAGAGCACTTCCAAGCCTGACCTTGAATGTTTTCAGATGGGACATCCACCACCTTTCTGGTCAACTCAAGCCTGTGCCTTACAGTAAAATACGTTTTTCTTATATCCAATCTCAGTCTCCCCTCCTTCAGTTTGAAACCAATTCCCCTTGCTCTCTTTCCTGAGTAAACCACACAGTTTGAGCTGGGCATGCTTCACCCTTTCCTAACAATGATAACCCCCTTAGGGGGGGGGGGGGGGGGGTCCCAAAAAAAAAAAAGGCAGTGAGTTTAGAAAGGCAGATTTCATTTGAGCAGAAACTGGAAGAGGCATCATAAAGCAGAGGCAAAATAAAGCAGAACAAGAGTAAAGAAGGGCTGCAAGTTTGTCTCCTATCTCTGTGCCCTTTCAGCCTTGCCTCCAGCACCTTTGCCAAGCATTTGTGTCAGATCCAGGCAAGCTGGGAAGACCCTGGGAAGCACTGCTGCTTCTGCCATGTTGGCGGGCAGTCACTGTATGCCACGCCATGCATTACAGCTCTGCTTGTCTTCCTGTCATCTGCTTTAGCCTCTCAGTGTGATGCAGCACATGTAGCTCCATCTGATATTCACTGCTGAGCTCCACCACTGCTCCCCATGTTCCGTTGTCTTCCAGATGGGTTTCCAGGTGGGGGCTCACACCAATGGCTCCAGAGAATTGCAGCCAAGTCTGGCGAAATGTATTTCCTAAAAAGGGAAAAGCAAACAGAAGAAAAGCCCAAAGATGATTATAAGAACAGCCACAGCTTGCTCGTTTTGCTGGATGTAATTTGTTGATATGTTAGTTTTCATCAGAAATGTGTTTTCCGTATGCTTTATTTAAAATATTGGTTCAGCTGCTTGGAAAAACGAAGGCGTTTTAGTCTGCCCACCTCACCCTCCAGAGAAAATGAGATCTTAAAGGTAGAAAAAGGGAAAAGTGAAAGGCAAATGGAAGAAAATGAAGCATACTTCTGCTGTTCCTGTTGATTGCAAAGCCATTTCTTACTGGAAAAACATAAAAAGAATGTTCAGTAAATAAGAAGTCAGCCTCAGCTGGGATTCTAGGGATAGGTACAAGCTAAGGTGGTTAGCTTAACATATTTTTTTAATTCATTGCAAGTCACTCATTTTGTCTTACATAAAACTACTGTTCATCCTTTCCTCAGACTGAATTCTTCATCTTCCCTTGGCTAAAAAGAATAAATAAAAGAATTACAGCCTACCTTTCAGCATCTCTACAACCCTTCTGATTTGCAGCCCAAATCAGTGATTTGCAAAGGTGTTATTCCAGTATCTAGCAGGCATCCTGAAGAATCCATGGATAAATATACTCTTTCTTGGTCAAGTTAAAGACAGTTGATGGGATTAAAGCTGTCTTGAAATTGCAAAAAGTAGACAAGAAAAAGCTGTCTTGAAATTGCAAAAAGTAGATGAGAAATGCTTTGTGAAAAGCTTACTGCCCAGGAGCTGAACGATTTGGTGTAACAGAACGATGCCTGTGATTGTTTGACACCAATACATCTGAAGGCAGGAGGCTTTTGTTAAGTGTGCAGTTAGTCAGTCAAGCCCTGCAATGTGTTAATTTGTTGGATTGGATGCAATTAGACTCTGCAATGAGGCTATTTTGCTATGATATTTCTGCTATTGCTTAGCCTGACATCACAGATTCTGCTGAATTAGAGCTTAGTGGTGTTTTCAGTGTGGTAGCAATGCCAGTACACATTAATTCACGATGGACCACAGGAATGTGGTACTCCAAATGCACTGCATGATTTATAGCCATGTAGAGCTCAGAGTAAATGTAAGAGTAAAACGTGTTGGGCTGTGAAGGGACAAGTAAGGTAATGGGTCTTTGGAGACTCCCACAATGATAACTTCACTCTGTAAGCTGCATCTGCTGGGCCAAGCCAGCTGTAGGCATGGAAGAGGCACAAGCTATCAGCAAAGTTTTGTTTTATACACAGCCTTGTTCAGTTTATTAGCAACCACCTCCAGTTCTCTTCTTGCTTCCTGCTGGGTTAAACGCACCCAGGATGACCACAGCCTGTAAACCTCCAGTCCTGCAGGTGTGATGGAGATGGCAATTCTGGTGCTTGAAGTCCCCTCAGGTCCCACCACAACAGACATGAGCAGCTGTTTCCATGTAATGAAGCTGAGCAGATGCTGTCCCTTGAGGAGCTCACCCAGGGCAGGCAGTCCCCTCCATGGTGACAGCAGGGTCACCATCGCTCCAGCACATGGGTGCAGCTGCTCTCATCTCCCACCAAGAATGAGAGGAAGAAAACTGGAAGGAATGCAGAAGTGGGATCTGGGTCTGTCCAGGTGCATTGTTTGCAGCTCCTGTGTCCCCTTTTTCACTGGAAGGATCCTCCTTTGGGGCTCTCTTTATTGACCACATCCCAGCAAAAGCAATGAAGCAGATTCTTCCTCCTTCCTGAGATTTCCCCCCCACCTTTCTCTCACCCATTTATCATCTGATCACCTCTTTTCCACCATCCTGGCAATGCTGGAAATGCAGACTGTTCCTGCCACCTGGTTAATTTATACTCTGGACAACCACATGCACATCAGATCACCATGGCCCATTAGCATACAAGAGTACACAGTTCTGAAGCTGGCTTGTCAATATGGATTAAACTGAATAAACAAACAAGGTAAAACAATCAATAGCAACACTTGCAGAAGAGGGAACAGAGCTGCTTGGACAAGAATACACACGTTTTCCAGGCTTTTTCATGCCCGTGTCACCAGCAATGCACAACATCCTATGAGCACAGCACCCATGCTAAGTGCAAATGGAAAAACAGGCATTTTTCAAAGCTTGTGGAGCAACAGATGGATGTTTGGTGTAGATGGATGCTTCCCTTTTCAGAGCGTGAGCTTCTGCAGTGCAAACCTTTACAGCGTCGCCACTGGAATAGAAGTGGCATATAGGATGGCTCATCCTTATTTGTCAGGAAAAGGTAAAGACAAAAGCACTGTGGTGTATCTGTCCAACTCCTGCTTTGGAAACAAACTTCCCAGCCATTTCCAGTTGACAACCGTGATCCAAGTAGTGGAAGCTGGTCCTTCATCAATTAACCTCCCAATTTGCCTGGGGCTTGCTTTAATTGATTCAGTGCAGAGCTCCTGTTCTCTAGGAATCAAAAATAAAAGAAACTTACCAAATTGATGCTGATCCAACGTCCAGTGGTTCTCTGGCTCTTGATGGTGTAACAATTTGCAAGAGCACAGCAGTACACCCAAACCTTCTGATACATGCAGAAAGGCAAGCAGTTCTCTGCTCCACACAGCCTGGCCTAAGAATTTGGGAGAAGACAGCTTTTTATAGGTTACATGCTTTGTGCTATGGTCTTGTTCCTAGATCAGCTCATATACCATTATAAGCCTTTCTCAAGGATCTCAACGAAGCTGGCTGGCTTAGGAATGCTACAAGCTGATTTATAATTTAGTTTCTGTGGGCTGTAAGATTTCCAAACTTACTGTCACGTGTAACTCCCAAGCAAATACCTGACAAGACCAGTCCTCCAAAGCCACTTAAGGCAATGAAAAATCCTCACTCAGCTCTTTGCTCACTCCCTTTTATGCAGATATGGGCAGGTGATGCTGGGGAGCTCTCAGTGAGTGCAGCTGGGACTCTCTCCCACCTGCATTGTTTGCAGGAATCCCCGCAGGCTCTGTTCTTGCCTTGCTCACCTCATTTTGGCTGCTGCAAGGTTTGCCAGGGACACTGGTACTTGCTGGTATGAACCTGGGTGGGAAGTCATGGGGACAGGTGAATCATTGAGAGAGGTGGAGCAAAAGCATCACCCAAACAGCCAACACCGTGCTTGCACAGCTCATCAGAATGAGGATGTTTGTGCAAGTTGCCCAGGCATTAAAAGGTAGCAGAAGGAAGTGTTATTGAACAGGTTATGATTTAAAAGAAGCAGCAGTCCGGACTTATAGAGCATGTTTGGGATCAGAGCTTTGAAACATCCATTCAGCTGCTCTGAAATGTAACTTTTGATAATGTGACACATTAAGCTTCTCTTCAAGTTGACACCTCTCTTCTTTCTTACCTTCTAAACATAAAATTCAGCTGTTTGCTTCTGTGGTGCACATGATTTTTTGTAATAAATGTCATCCCATTCATGCAAGAAGGAGAATTTCTCTCTGTCCCTGATTCTGCAAGAAGAGCAGCAGTTCTCATACTAAATCATGATGCAGGCTCATCTACAATGAGACATTCCTGATTTGCCTTCTGTGCCTCGTAACACTAGATAAAATTGAAAGCACCAGGTAAAAATGAAGTGTTATCAAGCAAGGACTAAGACCATCTATAATAACCCTAATCCAAATTGGATTAATTATTTGCAGAAAGGGCTAGAATGGCTTGTATTAGATCAAGAGCTAAATGGGTTGAAGTGGGTCGTACAATTTAAAGGAGGAATGGGTTAGGTGAAAAGGGGATTTGTCAATGAGCAAAACTTTATTAAACGGCTGCAAATTAAAAACAAACTTGCTACAAGGGTGTCTCTGCACTTCTAAAATCTGTATAAATCACAATTTAACAGAGTCCCTTGGAACTCCTGGATGACAGCACATAGAAAGCAACTTCATAGGCAATCTGTCCTCCTGCAGTATGGATGGGCAAGGAAGGATCTGCCAGCCAGCCAGCCAGCCTGGGGATCCTGTGCTGCTGTTCTCTGAGTGGGATGGATGCAGATGCTGAGATACTGGCATTAATGCAGGAAGCTGGAGAAGTCCATCTGGAAGGCATCCAGCCAGACAGCTTCATTCACTGAAGGTTTGTTGTAAGGCAAACCTTGTGTGATTTATGAAGGAGACACGTGGGCAGCGTGGGACGTTCGTATGACACACTATCCTGCTTCAAAACCTCGACCAAGCCCAGCACTGCTCTTCACTTCTCCACCCTGTAAATGTCTGCCTTCCCCTAGTGCACTTCTAGTAGAGCTCACAGAGCTCTTCCAGTTACTGGGTACAGTGAAAGTCCTGCCAAGTCTTCTTACAGCATCTTCACCCTTTTTCCCATTCCTCAGCGTTACAAATTTCCCTGGATTCTCTCCTCATTCCAGTTCCCCACCATGCACTCTGGTTCTGACTTCTTCCTCTCAGTTTCATTCCTATTTCGTCCAGCTGTAACTTAAATCTACCCTGCATTTTTCTCCCTCCCAATGAGGCCAACCTTGTTCTGAATCTTCCAGGGCACTGCAGCTGCAGCCATCACAAGGCATGTGCCAACCTGATCCACACGACTCCTCTGACCTCTTCAGTCCTTCAGATACATTGCTCTTCTTTCCCTATTGGCTGACCAGCGTCATCCTCTTCTCATCTCCTTCCTCACCAGCAACCATTGGTATAAATATCAATAATGATGAATTATGAATTGGCTTAGTGCTACTTAATAATTTACTCATTGCTTTAAGTTCTTCCAACAGTCTGTTGGAGCCCAGTGCTTAGCTAAAGAGTTTAGCTTCGGAATTTTTGGATATTCTCTACCGTATTCAAACAAACAAGTATGGAAAACTTAATATATATATATATATATAATTGTTCTGTGGAAGGAATAAGTATGAAGTGTCTGCATTTAAGAATGGTGAAGTTTGATCTGGGAGAAATAATAGAATGTAACAGAGTCCATAGACAATAATCAGGAACTTATCTCAAAGTGCCAGTCTTACCTCATTTGCTATTCTGGGAGGATGACTTTGTTATCAATAATGAAATGAATTGGTTCCTTCATTTAGAATCTTGCTAATAGCATGCAGGCTCTTCTGTGTCTGTCTATGCAGTAGACTTAAACAAAAGTTAATTCTATGCCTAAAACTGAAGCAAGTTCCTTCATACACTGTCTTTGGAAGCAGCAAGCAGCAGTCTGTTCTTCCCTTGCTAACGCGCTCAAAGGAAAAAAGATCTGGGCTGAAGTCCATCAGATCCAGTGTCAAATGCAGGAGTCTTGGGGGAAAACTCTCCCTAAAGGAGAAGGTCCTCCATGGCCCCATTTCAGATAAAAAATGCAGATGCCTAAAGCAGAACAGTTTCCCTTTTGTATAATTTGACCATATCCCACATAATGATGGCAGAAAAACATTAACAAAAGCTTTGATCCTCGATCTGAAAACCACCCAGCACTTTGCCTAGGGGGCATCTTGGCTCCATTCTAATTCATTAAATCTGGGAACATAATTGCATTGTTCTATATTCAACTGCCAGCTACTGCATTTTGTCACAGCAACAACCCATTCTCATCCTCCCTCCTCTAGGTGACCTAGCAAAGGTTGGCATTTGGCACTCAGGGATGTCCAGTGGGTATCTTAGCTCTTTTAGAGTCAGACCCCTATTCAGAAAGGCTAGGGAAAGTTTTCCATTCATCGTAATTAAAGAGAATTCTCTAATCAGCATTAAAACCGACACTACTGAGAATGGTTATCAAGGACTGAGGACATGTAAGGCATTCTTATCAGTGCACTGCACTGCTCCTTCCACACAGAGCTGGCGAAGACCAGACCAGGGAGCTGGTGAAGACCACACGATGCTGGAGAAGACCTCCATGGTCATTGGCTTGTGTCTTTCCCAGCAACAAACCACACCACAAAACCTCTTCTATAAACAGGTCAAGATTCTCATGAAATCAGCTGGATTCTAGCCACAGGCAGACAACTCCCTCCCATTACCACTGGCCCCCAGTGCAACCTGAAGGTAGGCATGAAGAAGTGAGCAGCGTGGGTGGGAAGCTGTACAAACCATCTGTTTTCAGTGTGTTGGAATTGTCCACTTTGAAGGAGCTGATATAGCAACTCTCTACATCATTCCAGTAAGAAGATGCTTATGTTCAACATAATTGCAAACCCAGGCTCAACCTGCTCATTAATCACCACCTAAGAACATGGCACCGAGCAGATGTAGCACTGAAATAAGAGACTGCAACCTGAAGCAGAAGAGTGGAAAGAAATGGTGCTGCAGGGAGAGAGGGGGCAGATCAGTGGATCAAGGGCTGGAGCATTCCAGAAATAAAGAGACAAGCGGTACAGATTCAAAGAAGTTTGTTTTTTATCAGTCGAGTGAGATACAAAAGTGAAGATGAGCTACTTTTCATTTCACAGGATCAAAAGCGCAGGATTTGTTTAGAAGTGTACACTTAAATGAAAAAAAAAAAAGAGAGAAACCTTGTTATCAGATGGCAAGTAGCTGAAGAAAAATGAGTACAGATATTCTGCACAGTAAGAAGAAAATATTTGTCTTGAAGGTACCAAAAAACAGCTGCATTTAGCGACTCTTACTTCCCCTTCAGTGCATACAGACCCAGGTGGGTGCACATTAATGTGGTATCCAAGTTACAGCAGCAGGTTCAAGAGAAATGCTTGTATATTAAGCACATGCCTGTAACAGTCAGATCATACATCATTCCATTAGGTGTTAAAGACAATATTTGTTTGGGTTTTTTTCTTTCTCTGTGATGCGTAACAGCAGTAAAACAACAAAAACAAAACCAAATTGCTCGACAGCTCCTTTGAAATATGAATGGTCTCCAGGCAAAATGGTATGGAGTAGAACAGGATCCCCATGGGTAGGATTCACCTGCTGTAAATGAGATAGGGCCAGTTGTCCAAGCTGCCACTGTAGGTTCCCTTTACGACCAATAAGGAAAAACAGAAGGTGTTTGAACACCTCCGGATGCTTAAGGCTCTCTACTGCTTTTATAGGGCAAGACTAGCTATGACTCAAAGCTAACTCCTTGACATCTAAAGCCTAAGGTTAAATCCTTCGTCAATTCAAGACTTCCAGAGGGAGCAAAGGCTGAAAGAGCTGAAGTATTGACAGTAATGAGTGATTTCTCCCTTTTAAGCTGCCTTAAGAGTACTGGAAAACAGTAACTATGATCCAGAAGGACCACGAATGTGAGATGACAACACTGATGTACTAACTGGTTCTGGACTGTAAAGAGGGCTGACTGCAAAACATCGGAGAAAAATCTGCAAACACTGACTAGATGAGAAAATGACAGTTGAAAATTTGGCTTGGATAAACATAGAATTATGCAACATGAGGAGAAAAGCCCTACATCTGCTCCCGTAGTTACAGGTTTTGAGTTAGCTATTGATTTTCAGGAACGAGTTCTTGGAGATGCAGAGGATGAGAAGAGATTTGGGGTTCTATAGCAGGCAGAAAACATCAACAGAGAGAGGAAGGAAATTGATGTTGGAATGTGTTAAGAAAGAATAAAAGAGCAAAACTGAAAAGAGATTTATGTCACTGTGCACATCACTGGTTTGTCTGCATTCTCAACACCAAGTTGCCCTCTTGAAAAGGATGGAGTAGTGCTGGGGAAGGATCGGCGATGGACAGTGTGTAATGATCAGAAGTCTGAAATAAGAACCACGATAGATCTCTTCAGTTAGAAAACAAAATGTCCTGAGGAGAAAAAAAAAGGAGATTTGGGAGCGGACTGGAGAGGGTACATGACTGATAAGGCACAAGAAACAAGGAGCATAGGACTGGCATAGGTAGGGGCAAACTCAGAAACAATGGAAGATAAGCCATGGG